CCAGTTGGATAAGGCCTACACTACCTCAAAAAAATTGAGCTCAGAGTGCCGCGCGGAGCTCTTTCGCCTGGCGCTGGACGAGTTCTCGGTTTTCTTATCGCGTTTCAACGAATCTTTGTAGGTTATGCCTTCCGTCTTTCTTGACACGTTTGACCCAGCGATTAAAGCTAAGGTACATTGGGATAGCTTGTCTGCTTTGCCCTTTCTGAGCTTTTGAAAACAGGGCTTTTGGAATTTTCAACCGGATTTGATCCCGTATAGGGGTATACAATATCTTTGAATTGAATCGAATTAATATTCGAGTAATCGAATTATTTGGATAATTTACCCGAAATACAATTATCGACAATTCAAGATCTCGAATATATTCGATAATCGCTTGCTACATTTGCTTATTCAATTTGTCAATTTCGAATTTCTCTAGTTGACTTACCCGGCTCCGCCCGGCCCTGTCATTATTATATTCGTAATCAGCATGCTCGATTACCCCCTGTGCCAACTCCCAGCCCCGTAGCTCAAGTTTTGCAAAAAATCGATAAAATCGACATCGATCGATAACGGAAAGTAGCCTATGACACCCGCCGGGGCCCTAAGTGTATGTGTGCCAAATTTGGTCCGGATCGGTTCAGAAATGGAATTTTCTATTCGGAACATACGTACACACATACAGACAGACAGACAGACAGACAGACAGACAGACAGACAGACAGACAGACAGACAGACAGACAGACATACAAACAGACGTTCAGCTTTATATATAAGATTTGGTTACCCGAAATTTTTGACTTTCGAATATATTGGGACATCAGAATATCTACTTTTAATAGCTTATTGATTATTCGACATTTTCGTGTAATCGAATAACTAACCTTTGATTTAACTGGCTTGGCCGCTGGCAGGAGGGGCTTTATAACCACAGGTGCGATAGTGGAGACTTTTACCACCCCCTCTTCACCCCTGAGCGGGGACCAAGGTGACCCCCTTTACCAAAAGCCGAGAAAAAATCAACAGTGAGGTATGGTTAAGCAAAGGAGATATTTGTACGTGAATTGTCAGTGTACAGGAAAGGAGAAGTCTGTTGAAAAAAGTGCTTGGTGACGGGTGTGAGTAGTGATTTCTGGAGATTTTCGGGTTTTTGACATAAAAAAATTCATAACTTTTGTAGATGAACATCTTTTACGGCGTGATGGTCACCATTAGAACCGCCTCGTTCTCCGTTCTCAGAAAATATACAGCATGTTTTAGATCCGTTCAAAAAAGTGCGTGGTGAAAGATGTGCCTAGTGATTGCTGGGATTCGAGTTTTCAGGATAAAAAAATTCGTGACTACTGCAGATGAACAGCTGGTGCAAGGTAGCAACCATCGGAACCGCCTCGTCCTCCGCTTTCAAAAAATATATGGCATGTCTGAGATCCATTCAAAAAAGTGCCTGGGTGAAGGGTGTGCTTAGTGATTTTTAAAGATACGCGATTTTTTATCATAAAAAAATTCATAACTTTTTTAGATGAAATCTTGTACGCCGAGATAGACACCATTGGAGCCGCGTTGTCCTCCGCTTTCAGAAAATATATACTTTGCCTGGGGTCCGTTAAAAAAAGTGCCGGGTGAAGGGTGGGTGAGACTTTTATAATGGGAGTGCTCAAGTAGACGCCTTTTTACAATGGTAAAAAAGACTTTTATAATGGGAGTGCTCAAGTAGACGCCTTTTTACAATGGTAAAAAGACTTTTATAATGGGAGTGCTCAAGTAGACGTCTTTTTACAATGGTAAAAAAGCCTGTACTTGAGCACTCCCATTATAAAAGTCTCACCCACCCTTCACCCGGCACTTTTTCTAATGGACCCCGGGCAAAGTATATATTTTCTGAAAGCGGAGGATAAGACGGTTCCAATGGTGCCTATCTCGGCGTACAAGATGTTCATCTAAAAAAGTTATGAATTTTTTTATGATAAAAAATCGAGTATTTTTAAAAACACTAGGCACACCCTTCACGCAGGCACTTTTTTTGATGGACATCAAGCAATGTATATATTTTCTGGAAGCAAAAAACGAGGCGGTTTCAATGGTGGCCATACCGGCGTAAATTATCTCCATCTTCAGAAGTTACGGATTTTTCTATCCTAAAAACTCGAAAATATCCAGAAATCACTACCACTCTTCACCAGGCACTTTTTCAACAGACTCCAGGCAAACTATATATTCTTTAAAAGCGGAAGACAAAATGGTTTCAAAAATATTCACCTTGCTGACGTTGCTGTTCATCTACAGAAATTACGAATTTCTACTTTGGAAAAAATTCGTAAATGCTTAAAAATTGTCTAACTCTTTCCGAAACAAATGTTCGCATGCACATCAACTATGGTAACTCCAAAACCAGGCACGGCGATGTAAAAAAGGGAAAAGGAAATGTGAAAAAAATACAAGGTGCTGGTCAGAAATATAATTGTATGCTAATCCAGCAGCGTATCACTTCACATTTCAGAAAAAAGACAAACAGTGATGGTAAGGAATTGGAAATTATGAACTTTGACTGGGAGAAATGATGCCCACCCCCCCGTCGCCATTTTACGATTTCTTTACCAAGTAAAACACCCTTCACCCTGGAAGGGACTGTGACCCCCTTCACCCTGGAGGAGTCATTCTCACCTTATCGCACCTGTGTTTATAACCTGCTTGAAGGCAGTGTCCAAGCAAAAAGCTGATTTCGAGATTATGTTCTTACCTGGGCCTGTTCGCTATGCTGAATCCGAAAGTCACAACTGGAGAGCGCGAAAGCGGCGAAAAAAGGCTCTAACGGAGGAGGGAAATTGCAGGTGGGCGGAGCTGTTCACATATCAGATAATCGCCGGGGGCAGGCGGGCGCCGGAAAATACGCATTGCTGAAATTTCGCACTCCGCTAGCAAATTCCAGGAAAATGGTCAGCGAGTTTTTGAGAGACCGTTCGTTGAACTTTTTTCCGCTCTTATCTTTTGCAGATATATTGCTGAATCTTTGAGGAGTCGAGAACTCAGCGAGCGCTCTTCCGAAAAGTCCTGATTGTTTTCCAGAAATTCCGCGGGCGGGGTGCGAGAAACCAGCCATCTATTTTTCCGGTACCCGCCTGCCCCCGGCGGTTGTCTGAGTAGTGGCGTCACTTTCCCAGCTTCAGGAGCGATCTTCTCGCTTCCGCTAATCGCACTAACATCACCACCACCCAACTGCGAAACGCATGACATAAAATCGGAACCGAGAAGATCGCTCCTACTGAGACAATCGCCGAGGACAGGCGGTCCGCAAACTCGCTTTTTTCTGCAGGCGCTCAGCAAAGTTTTGGGGCGTGGTCAAACCTTCAGCGAGCGGTACTTTCGTCTTCTGCCAGCGGGCAGCAACACAGAATTTTCTGCAGGTGCTCGTCAAATAATCTCTTTCAGCGAGCGCTGGTCAAATTTTCAGCTGGCGCTCGGACGGTTTTCAAGCAGTTTCGGGTGTACGCGGTGGGACTCTACATGGCAGAGGAGTCATCGATGGTTTAATTACTCAAGTTTGAGATACTTTCTCTCAGCGGAAAGTACCTAGGGCTGCGCGGTCCTCCATAAAGGACCGTGCGGCCCTCGAAAATGCTGCATATTCTCGCGAAAAGACCGCGAGAATGCGGCCACTGCGCCTGCAGATAATCTGCAAGGAAACCGCAATTGTTCTTCAAGCATTCGTTCAAAATTTCGCTAAAATTCTTCCAAATATTTGCAAGCGGACCGCAAGAAATCAGCAAACTACTTTTCCGGTGCCCGCTTGCCCAAAAATGGCATGGCCGCCTGCCCCCGGCGATTATCTGAGTAAAGCCTGGGAGAGTGGCGTCACGGTGTAAACAGCCCCGCCCACCTGTAACTTCCCTCCTGCGTTAGGGCCTTTTTTGGCGTTTTCGCGCTCTCCATTGTGGTGTATCGGATTCAGCATGGCGAATAGGCCCGGGTAAGCACAAAATCTCAGAATCGACTTTTTGCTTGGACACTGCCTTTAACGACGTTCGCGCTACGCAGTCTGCGCATCGCGCGCTTGCTCTCTGATCATTAACCTTAATTCGATCACAAAGCCCCGCCTTCCAGCTGCCAAGCCAGTTGAAGCAAAGGCAGCAAATATCGTTTGTTGTTTCGTTGCTCTTTATATGGAGTGCTTCACTGTACTAATTCGATCAAATTTGTTTGAGTATTCGACGTACTCAGACAATCGCCGGGGGCAGGCGGGCGCCGAAACATACGCGTTGCTAAAATTTCGCATTCCGCTCGCAAATTCCAGAAAAATGGTCAGCAAGTTCTTGAGAACCGCCTGTTGAATTTTTTCGCTCTTAACTTTTGCAGATATATTGCTGAATCTCTGAAGAAACGCGAACTCAACAAGCGGCCTTCCGAAAAGCCCTGATTGTTTTCTAAAAAATCCGCGAGCGGAGTGCGAAAAATCAGCCACCTATTTTTCCGGTGCCCGCCTGCCCCCGGCGATTTCTGAGTAGTTGATGCAAAGTATTCGTTCATTTGAATTTTTTCTCGAACATATTCGATTACTCAAAATTTTTTTATTTATTTCGAAAATATCGATATTCGATTATTCGGAATTTTTTAGTTTCGAAAATATTCGATACTCGGATATTCAACATTTTTTGCTTTTGAAAATATTTGGATATTCGATTATTCGACAATTCGAAAAAAAATTTCGAATATTCCAAAGTTTAGCCTAGAAGCTCAGGAAGGCTCGAATTTGCAAATATGAGACCCAAGTTCTGGCGAGACATTGCCTTCAAGAGTGACATCGATTTTCGTTCTTGTGCCGCGTATACCGTTTTCGGCTATGCCCTTTCACAATATCAATGCCTCTTTGAGTTTTTTCTAAAGTCCCGAAACTCCTAAAATAAGGGGTGTTTGTTTAATTATGAGCCGCACTTCATAAGACTTGATGCAGAACATAATTGAAGCAAACATTAGCTCAGCAAATGCTCTCGGGAACATTAAATTGAACATAACCACTTACCGGAACACATTCCACCTCATTGAAAAAACTGATTTGCTCGATGAAGTCATCATTTTGTGCACGAACGGTATTAGCACGACTAAAAGTATTAGGATAAGCAAAATAAAGTTTTAGCTTTGTAAATAAGCAAACAGAATTCCAAGGCTTGCTGTATCACATCTCCCAAACAACTGGGTTGCTTTCAAGGATCAAGCTTTTGTCCCTTAGAGTGAATTTGAAGTGCGATGTGCACACGTGCATGAGAATGCTAAATGAGGATTTGCTTCTTTTATATGTTGAACATGCCGAAGTTGAAAGTTACTAGTTGGCATGCCTGGCTACGCTTCCTCGTCCATGAACTATGATACTAGGTTGCAATGGCGTACCCAGAATTTCCGTTCGGGGGAGGGGGAGAGGAGGGGGAGGACGCACAAAAAAATTTTTTCGGATGAAGGTGCGTGGCGTTAGCCACGCACTCCGGAAAATTTTTGCTTTCCAAAATCTTTGAAACCCCTGAAAAATTTTGTACAAAGCTAATTTGCATTCTAAATAATTCTTTCAATCATTTACAAGTAAAAACAAGTCGTTTGCACATTTTTATAGCACATTTAAATAACTTTCAAAATCTTCGCAATCTCCCCAGTAGGGGGGGGAGCCCCCCCCCCCCTCCCTCGGTACGCCACTGCTAGGTTGGCATAAGTCTTGCACCAAAAAATATAAAATTCTTTGAAAATTGTTTGAATGATGTTTTCCAAGTACATCATTCACTTTCTGTGAAATATTAGGTCGCGAAACGGTTATCCGTTTTTTCAAGCGGATATTGCATAAAAATGATTTGGATGCTTTCAAGTATGCTTTGGTGCAGCTTCTACTTCTCTTTCTTATGGTTACATTTTCGAACTATAATCTTGCAAACGCTCTTATTAACAGTCAAACCTATTCATCCACCATTTCTACCTGGTCAAAGTTTGGTTGATTTTTGAAACATTGCAGAGTTACGGTAGTATGTAGCAGGTATGATATATTAGGTTGGTCCGAAAGTTCTGTCCCACCATTTTCAAAAAATCATAACTTCTTCCTAACACAACATTTTTGCATAAATAAAAAACTTTTGGAAAGAGCAATTCATGCGCTGTCCAAATCTACCTTGGCTGCTATCTATAAGCTCTGAGTGCAGAGATGAAATTGGGAAAAGGAAATTACTTCAAGTTCGAAATTTTTAAGAAAAAAAATCCAAAACCGTGCCATAAAATCCAAAACAACCAGTTTCTGAGGTTTTCTGATCCTTTCTTTCCATATGAGCAAAGTTTGCGCTAATCGGGCTCTTCTTAGAAATTTTATGACTTTCGAGAAAAAATGCCGAATAATCAGTTCCTTAAAAAATTGATTTTTTGACATTTTTTTTAAAAAATCATAACTTTTCTAGGAAGGTCTCCATCAGCGCGAATTTTGCTTGAATAGAAAGAGGGGATCAAAGAACCTAAACTACTAGCTGTTTCGGATTTTATGGCACAGTTTTTGATTTTTAACGGGCTTGCTTGAGAATTCCGAACTGGGAGTGATTTCCTTTTCCCAATTTTATCTTTGCAGCCAGAGCCTAGTAGATAGCAGCCAAGATAGATTTAGAGAGAGCATGAACTGCTCTTCCGAATACTCTTTTATTCATGCAAAAACATTGTGTTAGGAAGAAGTTATGTTTTTTTGAAAATGGTGGGACAGAACTTTCGGACCAATCTAATATTAGGTTGTCAAGAAAATAATGTCGTTTTTCATTTGCTTGCTTTAACAAAGCAACCAGACTCAACCCAACAAAGGGTATGGGGTACTGTTCGATAGAGCAAAGCAAGCTCTACAAGATGGCACTCATGCCTTTGCGCCATGCTCGATTCACGGAAAGTTTGAACTCAAAATGTAAAGATTTCCAAATGCCTAAAAAATCGAAAAAAATCAGGTCTCCGTCCAAATAATTTCAACGGACCTCCCACTTACACACGTCAATACTTTCGATATCATACACCCATATGTGCAGTTGCTGTGTTTTTTCCTTGACTAGAAACAGAGAAAACGAAGATTTTCATGATTTTCTCAAAGCAATGATGAGCCGTTCTTGCATATGTAGTTCTATAGTACAAGCCTAGGTAAGTACAACTGTAAATTTTCAGCCCATTTCGAGCAGTAGTTTTCGAAAAATATTGGATTCAGCTCCCTTCTTTTCAATTTCAGTGCTAAAATCGACATTTCTCGAAAACTACCATTCGGAATAGGCTGAAAATCTACAGTTACGTTAACCTAGACTTGTAGTATAGAATTGCGTATGCAAGAACGGCTCACCATTGCTTTGAGAATATCATGAAAATTTTCGTTTTCTCAGTTTCTAATGGGAGAAAAATACAACAACTGCACATATGGGTGTCTGATATCGAAAGTATTGGACGTATATGAGTGGGAGGTCCGTAGAAATTATTTGGACGGAGATCTAATTTTTTCGATTTTTTGGGCATTTGGAAATCTTTAGAATTTGAGTTCGAAGTTTCCGTGGATCGAACTTGGCGCAATATTATGAACGCCATCTTGTAGAGCTTGCTTTGCTTTATCGAACAGTATCCCTTACCTTTTGTTGAATTGAGCCTGGTTGCTTTGTTAGCAAGCAAATAAAAAACGACATTATTTTCTTGACAACCTAATAGATAGAGCAATTCTTGAACAATACGACTGAGATTTTCGATTATTCTAATCTGCTGTTGTAACCACGGCCCAGCACGAGGGTGGCAAATAGACATCGGTAAAACAGCTTCGCCTCTGCCGCTATCGATTTCCTGCTTGATCCCGCTAGCTGCGTGAGCTGTTCGATGAGAGCGCGCTTTCTCCTTTCGAGGAACCTGCGTCGTAACTATTCCGAAAAAGTTTTTTTTAATGTTTGTTACTATTAGGTCATTCCGAAAGTAATTTCGCTTTTCTCAAAGGAACTCCACATTTGACGGAACGAAGTTTTTTGAGAGATCTTGGTAGCCTTCGATGCAGCATTTCATCCTCGTCCTAATGGTCGTGAATCAGTTGCAGCACAATCAATGAGCTCTCGGAAAATCACCAAAATCTGCGACCCATGCTTTTTGTAATTATCAAGTTTTACAATTTTTCAAAATTTTTATATCATTCTTCCGAAGAAGTCCAGGTACCGATTCGATAGAGCAAACCCTACAGGATGCAAAACCATTTTTTTCCTTCACATAACTCCTAAAAAAATTTTAACAGAATTTTGATTGGTGCTACCAATTTCCATACTTGGTCAACTCAAACATCATAAAACATCAGACGGTAAGCAGCTCAAGTGTCATTCAATGCAGCTTGTTCTCCTCTTTCTAATAGATGCTTTTTGTTTTCCCTTTGTAGAGTTTTTGGGGGTCATAATCATCATAATTCACATTTTCGAACGCGTACCGGTCTGTACCCGAAAAAATCGAAAATAGATATTTCGATTCCGTAAACCCTCATTCGCTTTGAAATTAGTGTTAAATCGTAATACCATCTTGGAAGTTTTGAGTTCCAAAGATTCAGTGGTGTTTGATGCGAATGTGGCTGACGTAAGCCTGTCAAAATTCGGTGGTTTTGATAACAAACCTTCTAAGAAATTATGGCAAGATATAAAAACGAGAAAAAAGCTACGTCATATCCTATAAGGTTTGCTCTATCGAATTGTTACTTGAGCTCATTCGGAGGGTTGATGTAAAATTTTAGAAAGTTTGTGAAACTTGAGCATCTCAAAAAGCATGGATCGCAGGCTTTCGTAATTTTTCAAAAGCTCATTGACTGTGCTGCAACAATTTTATAATTTTTAGAAAGAGGATGAAATTCTGCATCGAATGCTGCCAAGATCTCCTAGAAACCTTTGTTCTCTCATATGTGGCGTCCGTTTGAAAAAAGCGAAATTACTTTCGGAATGACCTAATATATACTAAACTTCAGGTGTAGAGCACATTTATGCAAAAATTTCAGTGAAACGGAAGTTTTACCTACCTCAAGTAGGCATTAGGTGGCCAATTTGCCCACCTGAAAAGTTGAGCACGCTTTTCATCCACATAAATTTTTGTCATCTCTGCGTTGTAAAAGCGCCATTTTTTCATTTTCTGGTAACAGGAAATTTCCAAAAAAAAGCTTGCCACGACCACATAATTCTTCAATGAAACTTCTCAATTAACCCCTGCAGGCCCGTGTTCAGTACGTACCAAGCTTCATACCATATTGCCATTTGCGCGTTGCAAACAAGCCTTTTGTATTCACATCTTCACTCATCAATTATGCAAAATTTTTGGAAAAGTGTTTATTACACCTTCCATTCACAAAAGTTTTTCGCAAAATATCATGTTTGTTTCCACTAGCCTCTCTTTGTTCGCTTGCAAAGTTTGGTGCCATGTACCCCCACAATGGTCAGCCGCCTCATCGTGGCGTGGGGGTGACAATGGGTGTCGAACTGCGATGTACAGTCGAGTGTATGCTCTGGCAGGGCCTCCCAAGCTGTGAAGGAGTTCGACGTTTCCGACTTCGGCCGAATGCCTAGCTAAAAGCAGGACAGGTCAGATCTACCGCCGTTTGGTTTTCCGGTCGCTAGGCGGTTCTCTCCGCTCCAAGCTCGGGGTCAGCGATCGCTCCGTGGAAATCAAGAATAGGCCTAGCAAGCTTGCTCTTGTAAGGGAAAAATTTCATTGCTCCTTCAGTTAGAAGAATAAAAAGGAAGAACTGCACATTTGATCCCGCCTACGGCGTCGGGTGGTAGCAAGAACGATGTCAGGGTCCTCAAAGCGCCTTTTGGATCGGACAAGAACGACAAGTCTGCCCAGACAACACGCCATGGAGACTGTCTCATGCTCTGCACCTACAACGCCAGGACAGTCTCCACAAACGTCGACCTCCACGCTCTTCTCGACGCTGCAGAGCACATCAAGTACCATGTTATCGCTCTGCAGGAAACGAAGTCCAAGAAGAAGGACGGCGACAAATGACTGATAGTATACTTGGATAATTCGAAAATTTTTCATCGAATAAATAAATATCGAATAAATTCGAAAAAGAAAAATTTCGAATAAACGAATATCGAATAAATTC